TGTAGCAATTATTTTGGACACAACACAACATATTGTCCTATCACTAAGCTATACCCTTAGCAGCTCAGCAAATCATTTCTCTGCCAGTGACTTGCGTTAGTGGGAATTAGGGTGGAGATGGCAGTCACCTCATCTTCTAGAAGCGTCTAGCTCCCCCCTCCCCCAATCAACTTCTATTTAAGGCACGAGTGTGATCTCTTGAGGCCCTCTCAGTTTAAGGATTTATTCTCCAAGTATCACTGTCTCAACACTGGATAGAAAAGGGGTTTCAAAATCAAGTACCCGGTAAACCTAGGGTAGTTTTCATGTGTCAGAGTTGATAAGAGATTGTGATCAACCATAAGAGTAAGTATTCTTAGAACTCAGTTACTTGAATGCTACAGTGTAACTGTAGCTGCATTTCTTTAGTTGCAGCAACACATCTTTCAAGAGACTTTTTGGAAATGTTTTACTGTTTGTGCCATTCGAGTTCTAGCTGAATAAATGGGAAAATTAGTCCAGTTAAAAAAAGGCAAATACAAGCAATTTGCTCTTGTCTAACTGATTATGTACTTAACATCTAGAATCCACAATTCCCATAACAAGTACAAAGGTCATCAGTTAAAATCCCATTGCTAACCCAATTAACCGTTGTATCTTACTACTGGTGAACATTAATGCAATTTGAGGGAAAAAAAAAATCAGGCCATCAACACACTTCCCTCAACAGAGCCATTGTGTGATATTTAAAGAGGTTTTTTTTTTAATTCTACAAAACTCTTGTCATTGAGGGACAGGCTTTATGAGTCATGCATGTTCAAGCACAGGCAGAATTGTTCATCCAGAAGCAGATTCACTGGCTGCAAAAGCAGCTGCTTGCTCATCCTTTGCCAGAAATAAAGTTGACGTCGACCGCTGCCCTCCTTCGCTTTGGAAAAAATGAAGAGAGAGAAGTGGCAGTATAAAAATGTAAGAAGAAATTATTGTAATTCGTTGTTTTTGTACACACCGTATTTTATCAGTACTGCAATGCTGAGTTAATTCTGCTGCCAGCTCAGGAGAACAATCCCAGAATTTCTGCTACCAAAGCTAGGAGACAGTAAAATATGGCATACAGCAGTGGTTCTCAACCAGGGGTCCGAGGCCCCTTGGGGGGCTGCAAGCACATTTCCGGGGGGCTGCCAAGCAGGGCCAGCATTAGACTCACTGTGACCCAGGGTAGAAAGCCGAAACCCCACCACATGGGGTTGAAGCCTGCACCCTGAGCCCCACCAACTAGGGCTGAAGCCGAAGTCTGAACAGTGTAGTTTCGCGGGGGCCCCCAGGCAATTGCCTTGCTTGCTGCTCCTTAACGCCGGCCCTGGCTTTTATATGCAGAAAAACAGGTGTGGCACAGCTGGGCCGTGGTGTTTTTATAGCGTGTTGATGGGGCCTCAGAAAGAAAAAGGTTCAGAACCCCTGGCATAGACTCCCAGCTTTCAGTCTCTTGGGGAGACCACAACTCCTGTTAGACAATTCAAAGACTGCAACCTGGCCCCAAAATAAACTCTGTGTATCACTTATTAGACGAGTGAAGACTAGCTGTGTTCTAAGATCTTGGATAAAGTTAATGCCTGGTGAAATTCCCCTTGTTTTTTGGTAATGTGTTGGTTACTACACCATTTTTGATGCACCCCTTGCTGCGTAGTTCAGTTTACTGAAGGACATGAGGGCCACCAAAATGAGTCTAGCCCATCATGTGAGAGTACAGGCATCACAAAGATGGTTATTCAATGGCAAATTGACCTGCAGAGAGAAGTCAGGGCAAAGGCTGCTCAAACTGCAGAAACTGGATTTACCGCTACCAAAGCCATAGCATTAAGAAAAATAATTTGACAGAATAGGTACAATTGTGGTATTAATTCCATTGATATCTGTGGTTAAAAGAACTACGAAACAATTAGTTTGCCACAAAACATATTTTATTTATATTTATATATAAGAGAGAGAGTAAGAGTGTGTGGGGGGGGTGGGGTGGAGGGGAGCTTGGCTCCCAATAATAAAGCCTGTGGGGGATGGGGGCAACTGGAGCTAGGTTTCAGATTGCTAAACAGAGCATATTACACACATTCATTCTCAGTGACTAAAACACACTGTTCTTTTCTACAGACAGAACCATATTTAACACATCCATGCATGGGTGCACGAGGAAGGGAAAGGACAGAAGCACTTCCTGCATACAGGCCAGACACAATGACCTTGTGCTCTGAGCAGTAGAAATCGCCAGGGACTGTGCCATTACAGGAACTAGTAGTCTAGGAAAGTGGACCTGGGAGGGGGTGTAGCAGTACTCCCAGCAACGCTGGTCAAGCAGAGGGCAAGGTATGCCTCACCTCTCTACTGTGGGCAAATGGCTGAGCTCCCCAGGGTACAGGAGGCATTGTCTGCCTGAGGCATAAGGTCTGGCATTGTAAGATTCTGCATTGCCCCCCAACATCAGGATAGGGCTTAAAGGAGAGCAGCAGAGAAAAACATGGAGTTGAGGGTGTGGGGGGGAGAGGGGTGTTGTTTTTACTACATATTATATTAGAAATTCAGTTCTGGCCTACTCTCCCCTCCCCCCCCCCAAAAAAAAGAGTCTACAAACAAATGGAGAATGAACAGCATTATCACATCATAAATACCCAAAAAAGGAAATCAGAGCAATTGAGCAGAAATAGTCAGATTGCTAGGCATTTGAGTTATAAGTTTAAACAAAAAAAACTGCTGGGAGGAAAATTGTCTTTGTTCGAGTCAGAGCCTCAATTACTTTACACTAAAGACTATGAAAGCTCCTACTCCAGTTTGCTAGTCCTCCAAGGAGACCTTGCAGCAAAAAGGGAAGCCAAGACTTCATGTTCCTCAAATTTATAACAATTAAGGTTTCTAAAAAGTAGATTTTTAAAAAATATATTTTAAAAAAGCACTTCAGCATCCTCTAGCCCTCAGGAAGAAAAGAAAGCGTTTACTCAACTTATTTTTCTGAGGAAGGATGGTCCAGTGTTGAGGGCACTAGTTTAGGATGTAGAAGACTTAGGTTCAGTTCCCTGCTCTGCTGTGGACTTCCTGTGTGACCTTGGGTCTCTCTGTACCACACATCCCAGTCTGTGAAATCGAGATGCTTTCTCTACATCCCTTGGAGTGTTATGAGGATAAGTATATCAAAGATTGTGACTAGCTTTGAGATCTACTGATAAAAAGCACTATACAAGAAATAATTATGAATAATGCCTATTTATCCTCCTCTACAGATCACCTTGAATGCCACAATGTAGCCCTCAGTGGAGCAGCTAGATCATGAGCCATTTCTGTCAAGAACTCTGATTTTTGATTTTCTGTGTCTTCATGTTATGAACAGAAGAAGTGGAATAAAGTGGAGAGAATTTGTTAATCTTTTTTTCCCCCATGGCACGGTCTTTCAATAGCCATCTGAGCCAATATATTTATTTTTGGCTGACATCTTACTGTTCCTTGACAGGACTCAGAATTTGCATTAGTACACACTTTTTCTGAGCAGCGCCTTTGACAAAAATGGGAAAGGGGTGCAGGGGAACATTAAAAAAGAGGGGGGAAGAGGAGAACACAGATAAAAGGGAAGTCTGACAATCTAAGGTACTTATATACACTGTCACCATAATATCAGAGTAGCTTTATCTATAAACCAAAACCAGTGTAAGGTACGACAGTAATATTATCCCCATTTTACAGAAGAGGAACTGAAGCACAGAGCAGCTAAGTGATTTGCCTGAAGTCACAAAGGCAATTTATGTTGGAGGAAGAAATTGAGCCTGGGTTTCCCATGTCCTAGGCTTGTGCCCTAACCACTGGACCATCCTTCCTCTGCAAAGGAGAGAACTGGAGACAGGATACTCTTAAAAAATAAAAGTTAGTTTCCAACGATATACGGGGAGAAATCATGAAAGAAAACAGAACACAAAAGGAAGCAAAGAAAATGGAGACAAGGGATGGAGAACAAGAGCGAAAGGAAATGAAGCAAAAATATTTACATATGTTTATCGGAATAAGCTACAGTAGCTGGTATAAGCACCTTTATACCAATATAACTGCATCACTTCATCAGTTTCTGAACAGATACAGTTATAATGGTATAAAAACTGTGTTTAAGCCAGCACTTAGGCCCCAGTCCTGCAAGCTACTCGAGCGGTGCTCTGCTGAGCACAGAGATACTCCAGTATGGGATGGAGGCCTTTGTGTAATTTTTATTCCGCTTCCCATAAGCCTCACTAGTTTTTAGTCCTTATCTTTTTCTCCCCGCCACCTGTTTCAAGCCCAACCTTTCACTAGTTTGATTTGTGTGTTACTTTTGTACACAGCTCCAGCTGCGAGTGGTATACACATTTAGCTTGAGCTTATATATTTCAATTAACAGACAACAAGAGTTTGAGTAATACTGAACAGCAGATTTTGAGCAATGTTCCATATACATTGCTAAACTTGGTAATAAAATTAATTGGTTATGTAAAGATAATTAGCAGGATGATTACTTAAAATTCAAAACAAAATATGTATTTCAAGACCACTTGGGTCTATGTTTTTTGGATAGAAAAATATACAAATAACACCTTCTTGTTTACTCATATACTGAAATTCTACATTATTGCATTAGATGCTTAAAAATATCACATAACCAAGGAAAGATTAAATGCTTATCCAAATATATTTACAAATGGGAACAGCATATAAAACAGCAGAAGCTAGTGGTGATTAACCCAAACCAGGATCCACAATAAATACTCAAAGAAAACAGAACAAATACAGCACGCACAAAAAATATCATATCCAAGGAACCTAGGTTATAGTATCCTGTGTAGGCTGTTTTTGTTCCACTGTTCTGAGTATTTGTGTAACCTCAATATTCTAGAAACTTATGAATAAAAAAAGAGCAAAATATTGCTTCATTCAATTTTTCTGAGGAGCTTGTCTCTAGTCCAGTTTACACATTACATGTAGTCTTCCTATTAAAGAAAATGAGTTTCCAGTACCTTGTTGTCTCCTTGTACTTCTCCCAGTCTTTGTTGAAGTTGTTTAATTTCTTCTCCCAGGTGCTTATTTCGATCCCGAGAATCACTCAATAGTTGGGCAAGATTAGCCTAGGAAAGTTACAATGTTATTGTGACGTTGCACCCCTATAATGCTTTATAGAAATATGCTTATGAGTGTAAATATGACATAACTGGAATATGTTTTATGCTAGATATGCCATATAACATATCTTTGCAAAGATTATGTTCTTCTGCATGTACTCATCTTATTCGTATGCATGTATCATTTTTATATCTGAAGTTATGAGCGTTGGCTCTATGCTTGTATTTAAAGCCTTTGCTGTAGAAAGCACTTAAGGCTGATTTGGTCAACATAGTGTGAAGGGGTTATTCAAGTAATGGGGAGTACTTGGTTAACAATGGACCTCGATAGATGCCAATCCATATCTGAGCTTTCCTGGGAATGTCCTGTAGAAAACTGAGTCATGCATGGACATGTGACTTGCCCACGTGACTCCAAAACTCCATTTTGCAGCTGGATTCTACACAAGGGGAGAGAGGGGTTTCCACCCACAAAAGAAAATCTATTTAAGCCCCTGGAAATCCCTCCATTTTGTCTTCAGCTGGCTCAAGAGATAGCTTCTCCACCCCAAAGAGATGCCTGAAAGAAACTGGAACAAAGGACAGTAACTACAGGGGTGAGTGTGATTGCTGGACCCAGACAAGAAGGAGGCTAGTCTGCCAAAGAAGCTTATTTTGGAACATTTCTGAGGGTGAGATTTACCTGCATTTAGTTTCCTACTGTATTAGGCGTAGACTTGCATGTTTTATTTTATTTGGTAATTTACTTTGTTCTGTCTGTTATTACTTGGAACCACTTAAATCCCGCTTTTTGTATTTAATAAAATAACTTTTACTTATTAATTAACCCAGAGTACGTATTAATACCTGGGGGAACAAACAGCTGTGCATCTCTCTCCATCAGTGTTCCAGAGGGCGAACAATTTATGAGTTCTTTATAAGCTTTATACAGGGTAAAATGGATTTATTTGGGGTTTGGACCCCATTGGGAGTTGGGTATCTGAGTGCTGAAGACAGTAGCACGTCTTAAACTGTTTGCAGTTAAGCCTGCAGTTTGTGAGGCATGTGGTTCAGACTTGGATCTGTGTTTGCAGCAGGCAAGCATGTCTGGCTCAAACAAGGCAAGGCACTGAAGTCCCAAGCTGGTAGGGAAAACAGGCTCAGAGGTAATCTAGGCACATCAGGTGGCAGTCCCAAAGGGGCTTCTGTGATCCAACCTGCCGCAGTTATATGAGACAAAAGTGTGCTTTTGTGTGGGGGGTGGTGGTTGAGAAGAAACCAGGGTTTTATTCACTACCTTTCAACAGTGTTTAGTTTTATCAATGTTGTTATCTAGCCCTAATGTTTCATTAGAAACAGCATCAGGAGTCTAGCATCTAAATTACTGTAAAATAATTAATAAACTATGTGTACATACAAAGCTCCAAAACGGTACATAACAATGAATAAAGCCAGGTGGGAATACCCACACTATCTCGGATACCTCTGAGAATAAAAGAAGCTTGATAGACAAATCTGATATGAGGTAGCTAAACTAACTGTTTTAAATATGGGTATAATTAGGCAAAAGGCATAACAGAGAGAACTTATGAAGTGGGAGGGACGTGCCCTCTGCATTACGCAAATTAACTTCAGAAAATTTCCTCTCCCCTCACAAGTCCCTACCCCCATTCATAGCTACTCTGGAAACATCTTGTATGTCCAAGTGGTGAAACATTTAGAAGATATTGAGCATGATCTAACATTATTTGTTATTGGACATGTTTACTGAAAAATATCAGATTAACTGAAAAATAATATTCTTCCACTAACGTCCTAAAGATGTACATTCCTGAAAAACCAAATGGTGTGCGTCTCAGAAGTTATCATTACTGACATCCTAAATATTTTGTAGAGTTAGCTGCTCTTTTCCCCCCTTCATTCTTGTCTGCCTCCCCCTTCTGCCCCACCATGCCCCAGCCCCTTGCTCCAGGGACCGACCACTGCTGTGCCCCAATTGCCCTGGCCCCTCACTACGGGAAATGACCCCTCCCTCCCTGGCCCCCTTGCTCTGGGGACAGACCCCCGCTGTGCCCCGATTGGCCCAGCCCTAACCCCTCGCTACAGGGACCGACCCCCGCCGTGCCCCAATTGCCACAGCCCCTCACTCCAGGGTCCGACCCACTCCCTGCCCTGCTGTGCCCTGACTGGGCAGGTGGGCAGGCTCCACATCAACTCCTTCCAGCCTGGCTCTGCAGGCGAGTCCCAGGAGAGGGGGGATGAGCAAGGGGAGTGGAGAGCAAGCAATAGCGGGGGGGGGGAAGGGAGGGGAGTGAATAGGGGGTGGGGCCTTAGGAGAGGGGAGAGAGGATGTTCGGTATTCAGCAGTTGGAAGTTGGCAACCCTACTTATGGTTCAGAAGACCACTTGAGTGTGACCCAATGAAGCACTGTTTGAATCTGTGTGGAAAGAGCTTAGAAAGTAATGTCTAGAATTTGTGGCCTACCCACTGATCGGTATTTGCTCTGACCTCTACCCCTCTCCCTCACTGTCATTGCTTTTCAGGGTGTCCCTCTTTCCTTCCTCCTCAGCATTCCTCATCCTTCCTTTCTCTTTCCCTTAATCCTCCCCTCAGCCCCTTAATACTTTTTTTTTTTTAAATAAACAAAAGCTCAACCCACTCACACCACGGAACTAACACAATGTTTAACAACTATCACTGCGACCACTCTGCTTGTATGTTGCATCCCTTTCCCCCTTTCCCTTTGTCTTCTCTATTTCAACAGATCTACTCACCTTAATAAAGTTACTTTGGTGTTTACAGGATTAGGCTATTCGACTACAAGCAATTTGGAGAGGCACAGGTGCTTTTGAAAACTTTATCCTATGTGACTTTGGAACCTAAATCCAATTTTCACTTAGGTACTTTTGAAATTTTACTCATAGTCTCATGCTATCTGGCCCAAGTTTGGCAAACCCGGTCCATATAGGCATAATGGTTTGTCTACATAGATCTGATTGCAAGATCAGGGCCTACATATATGTAGTATATGTAAAAGTAATATAACAAAAAAAAAACCCAAAACTCATTTGTGATTGTTGTTACCATAATCAAGTTTGCTAGATCAGGTGGCCTATATCACTGCCAACTTCAAACTTTCAAAGAGAAACAAGAAGCCAAATACACTGGTCCTCTGTACTAGACAGATCATTGGTGAGATCTACTATGGCAATTCATGTGGTTTTACTTTTGAGGTTAGAGGCTCAGAAGGTCACAGTAAAGTTCCTTTCGTTTTTGGAAAAGATCAAATCATTTTTAATTAGGGCTGTAAAGCAATTAAAACAATTAGTTGCAATTAATTGCACTGTTAAGCAATAATAGAATACCATTTATTTAAATATTTTTGGATGTTTTCTACATTTTCAAATATATTGATTTCAATTACAACACCGAATACAAAGTGTGCACTCCTCACTTTGTATTTATTTTTATTAAAATATATGCAATGTAAAAACCAAAAGAAATAGTATTTTTCAATTCACCTAATACAAGTACTGTAGTGCAATCTCTTTATCATGAAAGTTGAACTTACAAATGTAGAATTATGTACAAAAAACCTGCATTCAAAAATAAAACAATGTAAAACTTTAGAGCCTACAAGTCTACTCAGTCTTATTTCTTGTTCAGCCAATTGCTCAAACAAGTTTGTTTACATTTTTGGGAGATAATATTGGCCACTTCTTATTTACAGTGTCACCTGAAAATGAGAACAGGCATTGCATTCGCATGGCATTGTTGTAGCTGGTGTCACAAGATATTTACCTGCCAGATGCGCTAAAGATTCATATGTCCCTTCATGCTTCAACCACCATTCCAGAGGACGTGTCCATGCTAATGACAGGTTCTGCTCGATAACAATCCAAATCAGTACAAACCAACGCATGTTCATTTTCATCATCTGAGTCAGATGCCATCAGCAGAAGGCTGATTTTCCTTTTTGGTGGTTTGGGTTCTGAAATTTCCACATAAGTGTATTGCTTTTTTAAGACTTCTGAAAGCATGCTCCACACCTCGTCCCTCTAAGATTTTGGAAAGCACTTCAGATTCTTAAACCTTGGGTCGAATGCTCTAACTATCTTAAAGAAGGTACCAATGTGAGATTTTTAGAGTTTTGTCAGATCTGCAGTGAAAGTGTTCTTGAAATGAACAACGTGCTGGGTCATCATCTGAGATTGCTAGAACATGAAATATATGGCAGAATGCGAGTAAAACAGAGCAAAGACATGCAATTCTCCCCCAAGTTTAGTCACAAATTTAAACACCACATTATTTTATTAATGATCATCATCAACAACATGGAAGCATGTCCTCTGGAATGGTGGCCGAAGCATGAAGGGACATACCAATGTTTAGCATATCTGGCACATAAATACTTTGCAATGCTGGCTACAAAATTGCCATACGAACACCTGTTCTCTCTTTCAGGTGACACTGTAAATAAGAAGGGGGCAGCATTATCTCCCGTAAATGTAAACAAACTTGTTTGCCTTAGCGATCGGCTGAACAAGAAGTAGGACTGAGTGAACTTATAGTCGCTAAAGTTTTACATTGTTTTATTTTTGAGTGCAGTTATGTAACAAAAAAACCCTACATTTGTAAATTGCACTTTTGCGATAAAGAGATTATACTACAGTACTTGTATGAGGTGAATTCAAAAATACTATTTCTTTTATAAGGTTTACAGTGCAAATATTTATATTTTTATTATACAGTGAGTGTACACTTTGTATTCTGTGTGGCAATTGAAATCAATATATTTGAAAAAGTAGAAAAACGTCCAAAAATATTTAATAAATTTCAATTGGTATTCTATTAAGTGTAATGAAAACTGATTAATCACAATTAATTTTTTTGAGTTTATTGCGCGAGTTAACTGTGATTAATCAACAGCTCTATTCTTAACTGTTGATATGGTTGAAAACTGAGAATGGCTCAGTTCTGTCTGTTTTAGAGATTACATATTTCCTAAACAACGTAACTATCCAAC